TGTCCTGGGAGGTGACTGCACGCACTGCCAGCTTGGCCCTTCTTTAAACTCTCACATTAGATTATCCGGCAAAATTCACTCCCGGGGGGTACGGTTTTCTGACTTTGGACCCACGGCAGGGATGTGGGGCCACCCACACAACCAAGATGCAGGGCAGTCCCATCCCGCGACAGTCCCTGGCCCTCATGTTCACACCGCGGCCCCCGGCCCCCACATCTCTGCAGTCATCTCTGTAGCTCTCTCTGGACTTTGAGGCTGTCTTATCATTGGGTCAGTAGTCTTAAAATCAAGCGTTTAAGTCTAAATACTCATTAGATCCCCATTGTTTGCAGACCCCATATGTGTGAATTCCCCTAGCTGCTAAAGTTTATTGGAAACCCCCAGCTCACAAAGGTGGGCGTTTGCAGAGCGCCCCGGCACCGAGCATTCTGAACACCTGCCCCCCGCCCCCCTTCCAGCCTCTTCCTCTGCTCCCCCCACGGAGTCACACAGCCCGGAGGGTTGAAACAGGCGCCCTTTTTGTGATTACGTGGCGCGTGTTTTAGGGTCTTTGCATTTGTTTCTTTTTGACTTTGCGACTTATCATGACCCCGTCCCAGCATGGACACTGCCCTCGGGTAGCCAGGCGGACGGGCGGGCGAGGAGGCTGCCTGGGCCTGCGGGGAGCCCGCAGGAGTCGGCTGGCTCGGCCCAGGGTGGGCCGGGCGCTGTGGCTGGCTCAATGTGAGTGACACGAGCTGCGTTGCACAGGATGACGCCTGAGAAATGTGACAAGCCAGGTGACGTATGGCGTATGGCATATGGCGCCTGGCGTCTGACGTAGTGACGTATGACGGAAGCACCGTGCAGCGGTTTGCAGGAGCCGGCCCTGCGCGTGCCGAGTCGGAGCCCGGGGGCGTCGGGAGGGCCTGGTGCTGGACATAAGCGCGTGGATGTGGGTCTGTCGGCGCCGTGTGCAGCCCCGCGCACTGGGCTTGTCCTCGTCCCCAGGAAGTTCAGCTGGAAACCTGCTGCAGAGAGGGGTCCCGCCCCGCCAGGGCGGGGAGCGGCTTTTGGATGTGCGGGTGTGGGAATTTCCAGCCGGCCACGATTTGCTGGTCTGTTGCAAAATGGAGACTGGACATGCATCCGGGTGGACAGGTGAGAAAGATTCGGTTTCGTGTCTGAGCCTTCTTGGGGGTTTGCTGGTTTGCCCCTCCAGGTTGATCGGGCGCCCGCCGCGTGGGCGCTGGGAGCCTGTCCCCTCGCTTGTCCCCAAGGCCTCCGTGCCAGGCAGGCACTTTCCAAAGCCGCGCGCTCGGCTGTGTGGGGAAGGTGGCTGGGCGCAAGGGTGGAGACCCACCGGCGACAGAAGCCACTGGAGGCATCTTCGGTTACTTCTTTCCCAGGCTTTTCTTTGATTTCCACATCTCTCCTGGCCGCCTGCCAGCGCGAGGCCTGTTCAAGCCTCACTTCCTTGCTTTTTATTCATTTTTATTCCCATTTAATTTGTGGATGACTTTTAGATTATAAGATCCAGTTTCAGATCATTGGTAGTGACATTCTCTTTTCCTTCTGACCCCTGGTTACCTATTTCTGCTCACTGGAAGCAGCCAATGTGATAATGTGTGTGTGTTTACCTTCTTACAAAACAGTGCTTGCGTATATAAGGCAACGGGATATCTATTTCCCTCCCTCTCACCCCCCATTTTTACATACATGATAGTATATCACACAGCCTGGTTTTCTCCCTGCTCTGTTCTGGCTTTCCATATCATCTATAAGGAGCGTTCTCGCCCCTTTTCACAGCTGCATAGTATTCCACCCATTCGTGTCTGGCCGCCCGGGGAGGCACATCTGGCAGGACACAGCTTTGTGTGGTTCCTGAGCTGAGCACGGTGGTTACAGCTTCAAATGGCTGAGCAAAAACTACTGTTATTTTGTGACACACGAAAATTAGAGGAAATCTGAATTTGAGAATGTCTGAATAAGGTTTTATTGGAGCACAGCAAACCGTTATCATGGTTTTAGTGCTACAAAGATAGAGCTGGGTAGTTGAGACCCAGACTGCATCACCCATAAAATGGGAACTCTTTTACCGGCCCTTTGTGGAAGTTGCTAGCCCCTGCTGGAGCCTGTATCCGCTCCCCTGGGGGTACAGGACAGCACAGATTCCTGGGCCCGCACCCAGAATGTCTGCCCTGGAGCCCGGGGGAGCCGCGCAGCTCACAGGTCCCGCGCCCGGATGCCACTGCTGCTGGTCGGGGCCCACTGTGCCCGCGGCGTCGTGCCCAGGCCCTAATCGACAGAGGCGGCCTCTGCTGCTCGGCTGTGTTGGCTCAGGCTGGGGTGGTGTGCACAGAGCTGGGCTCACGGCTGCACAGGCACAGGACATGTGCGAACCTACCTGGGCACTAGGCCCCTGCCAGGGAACCTGCGTTTGGACCATCGAGTGCCCCCTCGGTGGGGGCTTCTGTCTACGCCTCCAGCCCCCGTGGTCTGCACAGGTCTCGGGGCCCGTTCAGAGCGGGCTCCCCCTGACGTTCGTCCTCACGCCCACCACCACCAGCTCTCCCACCCCAGCGACACTGGCCAGGTTCAAGTCCAGAGAGGTGAAGCCATTTGCCTGAGGTCACACAGCGCCTGGGCAGCGCGAGCCCCAGTGCGTGCGCTTTTGTCTCACGCTTGGTCGGTTCCCTCTGCTGCCTGACACCCCCTGTCCATCCCGCCGCCCCCTCGCCCGGACGGCGCCCAGCAGCCTTGGGTTGAAGGGAGTGGCTGCAAGGCCGACTCGCCGGCGCCGGGGGCTGAGCTCGGGCCCGGCTGCGGCTGCTGCATCCCAGTTTCTCCGTCCCCCTTCTCTGAGGCATGGTGCTGGGGGTCAGTCCTCCAGCCAGGGAGAGCCTTAGGGTGTCTGGTTACCCCGAGTGACTGAGGTGTCATTTCTGAAGCAGTCAGTCTGGACGGGGTTGCACGGACGCCAGAGTGAAGCCTGAGGCGGCGGCCAGGCCCAGCCACCTGTGCCTCCACGCCTTCGTCACGTGACGCGTGTTTACAGGTGAGGAAGCTGGCGCCCAGAGACCGAGGATGCGGTCGGCGTTCCCAGCGGGCGGGTGTGGGAGCTGGGCTGGGCCTCTTGTCCTCCCCGAAGCCGGCATGGGTGGCCACCTGGCCCCTGACCTCTGTCGGCGCAGGACCCCTGGATTTAGGGGAAGTGATGCTTAAGCCTGGAAAGAATGCAGAGAAAGTCATGTGGCCAGGGAGCGCGGTCGCCAGGGAGCGTCTGGAGAATGTGAGCTTGAGGGGGGCGCTGGTCATCGGCGAGGAAGGGGTGTCCTGTGCGCGGGCTTCTCGCTGGCTACGTGCTCCCTCGGGAAAGCCCGGGGGACGGGCCCTTGACGAGGGGTCTGCCGCCCCTCTTCCCTCCGTGGACGTTGTCGGAGGCCACTGGCCAGGCGGGAAACTCGGGGCCAGCACTTGTCCACCAGAACGTCCTGCTGCTCCAGACGCGCCCTGTCTCCGGCCGGCCTCTGCTGAGCCCAGGGGCTTGGGAAACCGTGGCCAGGGTCACGGGCCGCAATTTTTATCTCATTTAGGTGCAAATGGAAAGTTTTTCACTTTAGTTCAGCAAAGAACCCTCAGTTCTGCTATTGAAAAGCCCTTAGTGTGTCTGGCATAAGTTCTAGCCGCGTTTCACTGCTGAAGCTCTCAGCGGTACGTGTTGTGGACGCTGCTTGTGCAGGCTGAGTGTTTCTGATGAAACGTTAGCACCGGAGACAGGCTGCCCACGTCAAACCGCGCTTGGGAGGCACAGGGTGAGAAAGTCCCCAGAGGGGATCTGTTTAGGTATTGCTTATGTTGTGAAATGAAGTTTGGGATATGCTGGGTTAAATAAAATAGACTCGATTTCACCTGTTTCTTTTCTCCCTTCTTTCTGCCTCTGTTAAAGAAACTGTGAGATGCCATCTAGGGTCCTGCTCGCTTTTTCCCGGGCCCTAGCACCCTGCTCACCCACAGCACACCCTGAACGTTTTGTGCCTTTCAGTGCAGACTGAGTAATTTTTATTGCATGGTTGGTGGAGACTTTAATCCCGGCGTTACCTCCTCCAGGAAGCCCTCCTTGACTGCCCCAGAACGGGCCAAAGAGCTCCGTCGATCTCTCCGGGGCCCGCAGCCCTTTGCTGCCACCTCCCCTGTCACTCGTTAAGCCGACGTGGCGCGTGAGTGGGTGTGTTGATGGGAAGAAACTGTCTGAACAGTTCTGATGAGCGTCACCTTGAGTGTAAGGGGCACAGGACAAGAGAGAGGCCCACAGAGGCGTTCGGCGGAGAGGAGATGAGCGTCTGCGGGAGGCGGCCTGGATCTGAGCCGGACGTTCCGACGGCAGCAGCGGCTGCACTCACTCCTCTGTGTGCCGCGGGCCTGGTGCTGACGTCGCCGCGCCCTGGTGCTCGGCCGCCAAAGCGCCCCGGCCCACCACAGACCCGGCGCCCCCCTTTTGCTGGCCCCTCCGAATGGGGACCCGCAGTGTGAGGAGCTGGGCTTAGGAGGGCGCTGAGGCGAGGTCGTCCGTCCCGGGGCTGCGCTGCCCTGCCGCACAGGCGGCCTCGTGCCGCGGGTGCCGCCGCCCGTGACCAGAGCCGGGGGAGCAGCGCCCCGGTCTTGGCCACGCGCGGCCGGCGGGATCCAGCGCGGGGTGCGGGCAGCGCCGACGGGCAGCCGTGCACAGGGCGAGCGTTGCCCGCTGCAGCCCGAGGGCAGAACGGCGCCCACTGCCGCCTTTGCAAATAAAGTTTTACTGGGACGCGGCACGCAGGCGCACACGCGGCCGCTGGCTGCTCCGGCCGGCCGGCGGAGCGCAGGCTCGTGGGAGACTGACCGCAGGGTGGGACTGTTTGCTGCCTGAATGCTCATGAATCACGCCTGCCCGCCCTGCCCTGTCTGGGGCACGGAGGCAGAGGCTGGAGATGACCGGTAGGTTTGGGAGAAGGAGCAGCAGCCAAACAGGTGACGTTAGCCGCATGCCGGGCGTGGCCCAAGGCCTCGCCGGACGGCTCACGGCGGGGTCGGGGGTGGAGGGCTGGGACGCGGGCAGTGCGGGGTCGTGGGCAGCCTGGGGGCGCCGAAGCAGGCCAGGTCCACCTCGGTGCCCGCTCTCTGGGAACCCTTGCCACACCCGGGCAAAGGGGACCCAGCGACGGAGGAGGGAGCCGAGCGGGAGACCCACAGGGGAGCCCGGCAGCGCCCACCGTTTCCGCCGTGGGCGCCTTTGTCCTCCCGACCCGTTGCCGGAGCTCCCGGGCTGCCTCCGGGGGGGCCCTTCCTCGCCACACCTGCCGCCTTACTCAGCCCCCTGTAATCCCACTGTGTCCCCTGCGTCACGGTGGGCACTGCGGGGGTCTCTTTCCTCTGCCGTTCGAAGGAGCGAGCGAGGCACGGACGCTCGCGGGAGTGGATCTGTGGGCCGAGCGCCGAGGGAAACCGCGGGGCCCCTTCTCCGGCGCGACTCGGGCTTCGGGGTGGCGCAGGGAGCGTGGCGCCCCGGGCACGTGGGCCGCGCCCCCGGAGCTGCCCCTGCAGCGACCCCTGCCCTGTCCACGCCGGCTTCTCACCCGCCCGCTCTCTGCTCCTTTCCCCCAGTGTGTCCCGGCATGGACATTCGGAACAACCTCACGAGACTCCACGAGCTGGCGAACTGCTCCGTCATCGAGGGCCACCTGCAGATACTGCTGATGTTCAAGACGAGGCCCGAGGACTTCCGGGACCTCAGCTTCCCCAAGCTCACCATGATCACCGACTACCTGCTGCTCTTCCGGGTCTACGGGCTGGAGAGCCTCAAGGACCTGTTCCCCAACCTCACGGTCATCCGGGGCTCGCGCCTCTTCTTCAACTACGCGCTGGTTGTCTTCGAGATGGTCCACCTCAAGGAGCTCGGCCTGTACAGCCTCATGAACATCACCCGGGGCTCCGTCCGCATCGAGAAGAACAACGAGCTGTGTTACCTGGCCACCATCGACTGGTCGCGCATCCTGGACTCCGTGGAGGACAACTACATCGTGCTCAACAAAGACGACAACGAGGAGTGTGGGGACATCTGCCCGGGCACCGCCAAGGGCAAGACCAGCTGCCCAGCCACCGTCATCAACGGGCAGTTCGTGGAGCGCTGCTGGACACACAGCCACTGCCAGAAAGGTGAGCGCGGCGCAGGGGCAGCCGGTGCCCCGCCTGTGCGAGAGCCCGGGCGCGAGTGGGCAGCTGGTCGCC